CCGTTCCTTTATCTGACACAGCTTTCCCCAGACACTAGCTGTGTAGTGCACACATGGAAACACTGCCTGGGTCCACCTCCAGCTCCCCTGCAGCTGCTGTGGCCTGGACCAGCCTTGTGGTGGTGGTGGTGGTGGTGGTGGTGGGGTATCATTAAAGCCAGGTTACCAGGTGTCTTAGTTACACTTGCTTTCTTTTCTTTTCTTTCTTTCTTTCTTTCTTTCTTTCTTTCTTTCTTTCTTTCTTTCTTTTTGTTTTTGGTTTGTTTTGTTCTGTTTTGGTTTTTTTTGAGACAGGGTTTCTCTGTGTAGCCCTGGCTGTCCTGGAACTCAGACCAAACTGACCTTGAACTCACAGATAACTGCCTACCTCTGCCTCCTGAGTGCTGGGATTAAAGGCATGCACCATTACTTCCAGGTTTAGTTAGGGTTTCTATTGCTTAGGCTAAACACCATGACCAAAAAGCAAGTTGGGGAGTAAAAGGTTTATTTGGCTTACTCTTCCAGATCACACTCCATCATTGGAGGAAGTCAGGACAGAAACTCAAGCAGGGCTGGAACCTGGAGGCAGGAGCTGATGCAAAGGTCATAGAGGGGTGCTGCTTACTGGCTTGCTTCCCAGGGGCTTGGTCAGCCTGCTTTCTTACAGAACCCAGGACCACCTGCCCAGGATGGCACCACCCACTGGGCCCTCCGCATAAGTTCGCTAATTGAGAAAATGCCTAATAGCTGGATCTCACGGAGGCATTTCCTCAACTGAGGTGCCTTCCTCTCTGATGACTCTAGCTTGGGTCAGTACAGCAAGCAAACTAAGTGGGTGCTTTTAGACACACAGTAAAATGACAGTTACTCCCTTTTATTGATGTAATGAACCTCTCATTGGACTTCTTCAGAGTTTAATGCTTTGGTTTTAGTAATGCATGCACAATCCCACAATCCTTTGTGTGTCTGGGGCCTGTAGAGTCTCAGCTACCTGCAAGGACATGAACTCCTGATGTGCTGTGAACGGAGTTCATCTGCTTCCTTACCAAGCCCACATATGGCCAGAGATATTCTAGCCCCACCATCACTGGCTTGACAATATTAAACTTGATCCCTGATGAAAGATTCCATCTTTTCAGAGTCTCGAGGGGCAAAACACACTAAGAGCAGATGTGGGAAATGTACAAAGCAGGCCTTGAGATCGTTAGCAAGAGGGCGGAGCCATCTGCTCCCTCAAACCCGTGTTGTGGAGCCCTGTGGCAGGAAGCAACTCAGAACCTTCATAGGGGCTACAGAGGTTCTCTTAAGACCCTACGGTGTTCTGTGCATTCTCAGATTAGAGCAAGGCTTATTCCTCGATCTTCAGGAATTGTGTCTCACCCAAGACACACAGAAGGGTGGAGATTGGACTGTGCACAGGGTTGAGCTTGCCACCTCTGCCTGCAGCTGTGTTTGTTTGGCAAACAGTACTTAAAAAAAAAAGTCACCAAACTCAATTGGAATGTCACTGGGAGGCTTGAAAGTTCCTTTCTACATTACTGTCACTATGTCACTAAGCCTCAGTGGCTGCTGTCTACTCTAACTTGCACGGATGTGAGAAGACCTGTAGGGAGGGCGCAGGGGAGATGGGGCTCAAAGTTGGGCTCTATAGAGCCCTCTGTGAAAGAGGATCACTATGTCACTAAGCCTCAGTGGCTGCTGTCTACTCTAACTTGCACGGAAGTGAGAAGACCTGTAGGGAGGGCACAGGGGAGATGGGGCTCAAAGTTGGGCTCTGTGGAGCCCTTTGTGAAAGAGGCCCAAACTGCCCGGCTCACCATCCCCCTGCATGCCAGCATCCTCGACCTCCTCCCTCTGACTGGGGACAGGCTCTCTTGTCCTTCAAGTTCCCCAAACCCTCAGACTCTCAGAGGAAGGAAAGCCACTCAGAGCCACTAGGAAACAAGGTTTTATTTACTTATTTTTCCATTGTCAGAGGATAGATCACAAGACAGAGATCAGCAGTCCGGGTACACAGTGTGGCTTGGTTAGTTTCCAAGGGAACACAATGGACAGGTGGGGCGGGTTCTGGTTTGACTTTCCACTCTGATGACCTCTGACTTCTGACCTTTGCTGTGCACCCGGTTGTACCTACCCTGTTGGTCTCTGACCTGCGGCCCTGCTGCTCCTGCACCCTTCCATCCCTCTCCACTCTGACCCCTGACAGGCAGAGAAAGGAAACTGCAGTGGCTGCCAGACCCATACCACAAGACAGAGAGGCAGACCCACCTCCACGCTCTCTGTTGCCCATCCCCTCTGTCACCCCCTGCCAGAGGCCTGCTTCGGAGAAGTAAGGGCTCCTCAGGCCAGAAGAATTGGGCTAGAAATTAAAGTCTCAGAAGCAGGGAAGGTGGGCAAAGGCAGGAGGATTCCAGAGCCTACAGAGTTATTGCGTGAGGAGCACATTCCCCAGAAGCAAGAAGGACCTGGAATCCCTGGGTGTTCCGCAAAGGGTGGGACAGACTGGGACTCTGCAGTGGGCACCCTAAAAGGAAAAGGACCCCAGGAGGCCTGCAGGAAGGTAATCCTCAGTATCTCCAGCTGCTGACAGACCTTCAAAACTGGTGGAATCAGGAGCAAGTTTCTTCTGAGAGTCCATGAAGAACAGCAACGAAGATGATTACACACTTCTCAGTCCCAAGACAGCTGGGGACCCCTGCCCTGGGTACAACTCTCCCTCAAACCTAAATTCAGAGATGGGACTAGGACTTCCCCGGGGACAGAGCAGACTCCAGAGAGCTAGAGGGTGTGGAGGCCTCAGGAGGGCACAAGGTGTGGATGGCAACATGGCCCAGCCCCTCCCAGGAAAGGGAACACACACACAGTTCACAGCAACAACGAAATCCACAAATGAGTAGCCACAAGACCACAGTCAGCAGACACATACACACACAAAGACACAGCACAGAAAGGGGCCAGACCCCCGGCTGCAGTGAGAAGGGAAAGGCTATGAATGTTGCATCTTTAAGTACAGGACTGGGTTAGCGGGGACAGGGAGAGGCACAGGGAACACGTGTTCTTGGCTTCTCTTAGGGAAAGATCTGGTCTGAAGTAGCCGGTTTTCTCAAGCCTGGACACCAGCCTCTAAGGGATTAGGCAGCTGGCCTTGGCTTCTGGAGGCTGTGGAGACAAAGAATCCACATTAAAACCCCAGATCCTTTCTAGTATTCATACCTGGTCCTCTCTCCACCTTCAGCGTAGTCCCTTTGTCCATAAATCCCCAAGGTTCAGTGAAGAACAGACAAGCCTGAGAGGCAGGGAAGCAGATGGAGGCTGGGGTTGATGGTGCACAGGTGGCTTCCTGAGCTGGAGTTGTTGACAGACCCTGTTTATATGGTCACATGTCTTTAAGACATCCATCCCAAAGATGGATGATGAAGTGAGCCCGGCTCTGCTGCCTGGGGCTGACATGTAGAAGTGCAGGCAGACACTGCAAGGAATTAAAACACTACATGGGTTCATGGTAGTATTGCCACCAGAGAAAAGGCTGCTGTCCATGACAGGAGACAGGTTTGTTTTTGTTTTTTGTTTTGTTTTTGTCTTGTTTTGTTTGTTTTGTTTTGTATTTTTGAGACAGAGTCCATTTAGCCCAGGCTGATCTCGAACTCACTGTTAGCCAGGGTTGACCTTGAACTTCTGACGTTTCTGTTTTAATCTCCCATTGGCTGGGTTTACAGGTATGCACCATTATGCCTGGCTTGAGAAAATCTTTAATTTACAACATTAGCTAAAGTTATGTACTTGTCCATTATGTCTTATGGTGTGGAGGCTAGGGCAGAAGTGAGGTGACAGAACTGGCTTTCTTGCCTTTGTATATCCCAGGGTCTGCCATCCAGACCACAATTAAGAGGGCGTTGTGGGTGACCCTAACCTACAGCCACAAAGCTTGTCACATACTGTCTGTACTGGCAAGTTTTGTGTCAACTTGATACAAGCTACAGTCATCTCAGAGGAGGGAACCTCAACTGAGAAATGCTTCCATAACATCAGGTTGTGGGCAAGCCTGTAGGGCATTTTCTTAATTAGTGAGTGATGGGGGAGGGCCCAGCCCATTGTGGTTGGGGACACATGTGGGCTGGTGTCCTGGGTTCTATAAGAAAGCAGGCTAAGCAAGCCATGTGGAGCAAGTCAGTAAGCAGCAACCCTCCACGGCCTTTGTATCAGCTCCTGTCCAGCTTGAGTTCCTATCCTGACTTTCTTCAATGTCGAAGCTTACACCAAATAACCCTTTCCTCTCCAACTTGCTTTTTCTGGTGTTTCACCACAGCAATAACAACCCTAACTAGGACACTATCTGAATGGCTTTTTCTGACAGCAGGTTTTTCCATTATAAATGGGGCCAGCCCTGCATGTCCTATTTCTCCTGGTCAGCTCCTGAAGGTTCCTATAGGGCCTGCTGACTATTTGGAAGCTTTATCCAATCACTATGTGCTCTCTGGTACACCCTACAGTGAGCAATGGAAATGAACACACAGTGAGCCCCAAATGTTGAGGACAGTGCAGGTATGGGGGGGGCATATTATTTTCCCTACTTTTGAGTAGTATTGGAAAGCTTCATAATAAGTGTGTGTGTGTGTGTGTGTGTGTGTGTGTGTGTGTGTGTGTGTATGTTTAAGTGGTTTGGGGCTCACTATTAGAAGCCATTCTCAATGTTACTTTGATATGGAAGTCTCACTAAGTGATTCCCACCCAAGTCACATCCCTGTGGAAGCAGGGACAGTACCCTATGAACCTGACCCTGAGGCTGACTGGAAGCCCTGATTCCCTATGCTTGTTATGTTTGGGTAAGGGACACCTTAGTGTCTCTGGGACTGGGCTGTCCACTGTTCCTCCCCGACCTCTGAGAGACACTTAAGAGTGAACTGGTAAAAAGCGCCCATGAAGAAGTTAGCATGATGCCACCGCCCAAACTCAATGAAGACAGTGGTAAGGCACCGTGGAACTGGATACAGATCACCTACCTTCCTGCTGGAGGCTGCACGTCAGTTCTCTGCCTTCTGGGGCTCTGCAGCTGGAAGAGAAGGCAGACTGATGTAGTGTGAGGCTGCCCACCCAGGGGTTGCTCCATGCTGAACCCTTACTGATGCCTGATACTAGAATTTTGTGTCACTGGTTACAAGAACGTGGACCTAGGTTGTTGAATATGGGTAATGATGGCCACCTCTCCAGGCTTAGCACTTGGATAAAGATAGAGTCTGCTTGGTACAAAGCAGGTACTCTGTAGACAATGACTACCATCAGTAGTTTGTCTCTTGTGGAATACTCTTAATCAGGCAAAGGTGTGTTACATTTGCTCATAAGGCATTTGTTAACTATGTAAAGATATGTTGCATTTGCATTAAACAAAATTAACCTGGGCTCAGAGAGGTGGGGTTAGCAACTTGTTGACAGGACGTAGCAGGGAGGAGCTTAACGTGTTTTTTGTTTGTTTCAGTTGGGGCAGTATGAAAGGGAGTGGCTTCCAGGATGTCAGCAAAGAGAGAAAGGTAGCCAGTTGCTACTCTAACTCTCTGAGCTCACAGGCTTTCACCCTAGCCTTTGAATCTCCAGTTTTATTAGGACGATAGAGATTTAGTTAGAACTACCGTTAGCAATAGCAACAGAGCCATTGTCTGGGGGAACAGAATTGCCCCCCAGGCTACAGCCTTAGGGGCCGGTAGCAGTTTAAAGTGCAGCCACTGTGACAAACAAAACAAAACAAAAAACAGTCTCTGGTATGGACCAAGAGCTAACATCACAGAGGTCCTGAGAGCCCCTTCCTGGCACCTCAGAGGCATGTCTGCTGAACCCAAAGCAGCTCATGGCACCCAGTTCACTCCTTCCCCAAACCCTGGGAAGCCCCTCTCCTAGCACTCTTCATGGCAGTTACCATTTGTAGTGATGAGGTTCTCCACCTGGGCCTCTTCATCTCCTGGAGCCCTAAGACAAGAGGAGACACACTGTCACCCGTGTCCAGGGTAAACCATAGCATCTCCCCATTCTCTTCATTCTCTTCCCTGAAGTAGGGCCTCTGGAACCCCTCCCCTCAGAGCCCCTTTAAGGATTCAAACACTAGGTGAAAGGAGAAGTCAGGACTGACAGGGACAGAGGCAAAGAGAACTCAGGAGTGCCCTGCAATGTCTGCCCCCCGTGGGATTTGTGCCTGCCACAGGCTCTGAGGTCCATGGCCACCATGGCTGTTTTAATGAAGGGGTGTAACTTTGTGTGGCATAGAAGGAAGATCAGGTGTCTATGCAGTGCACAGAGCCTCAGAGAGAGATGAAAAGCAGAGACAGTGTATAGGCCCTGCACCTCAGAGCAGCCGTGAGGTCCTTGGCTTCCCTCTTAGCAAGCCTAGCTGTCTCAAAGGCCTCCGGACAAGGTCCTAGCACATTCTTACTCAGTATTCCTTCCCCGATTTACACCTGAGGCCCACTCTCCATGTGTGACCTCTCCTTTGTTCCAAAGTCACTTGGAAATCCCCAGATTCATACCTCGGCCTCCCACATTCTCTCTCTGAGACAGCCCACCGGGTTCACATTACACCCTCTCCCTGTCCCCTCTGCGGTTGCCCCTGTTGGCCACAGCCTTGGCACCTCACCTGGGCTTCTGATTGAAACTGCACTTGCACCTGCGACCTGAAATGCAAAGAAACCAGTCAAGGTTCAGGCTCCCAGCTGGGCCATAATCTACTGTGAATCTATACAGACCAAAGGCACCACCAGACATACAGTGGATGCCTGCACTACTACAGGAAGTAACCCTGGGTAGGGGGCAGGAGTCAAGGGAGGCCAGGTGCTATGGTTTAAATGGCAGATGCACCCCACAGGAAGTTGTGTCTAAATACCTGATCCTTGGTGGGGGTGCTGTTTGTGGGAGGAGTAGCCTAGCTACCAAAGTGGGTTGCTGCGGTCAGGTGTTAGAGGTGATAGCTGCTTCTGGTTATACCCTGAACTTTCTGCTTCCTGGTCAACCTTAATGAGAACAAGCCACAGATGTCTACTACCTTGGACCAAGCTGCTCCACCATGCCTGTCCACTATGATGGACTTTGCCCTTTCATACGGTGAGCAAAAATAATCAGGGTGGGAAATGCATAGGGACACTTTCCTAGGAACACTAGGAAAATGACATCTGACTCCTGGGATGGCCGAGCTCCTGCCCTAGGGATGCAGAGAACAGCCTGCTCACCTTCCTTGTTTTACTGAGCACTTACTACATGCCCCGCCCTGTATTGGTCCTGGAGATACCCTGGAGAGGCAGACCATGGCTAAGCTTGTACACTACCCCCATCTGTCTAGCAGCCACAGAGAAAAAGGGGACACACTTACTTAGGATGAGTAGTATCCCAACAGAGAAGAGGACCACAGCGAACACCAATCCCCCAATCCTCAGGGTCTGGTAGTCTGCAAAGGAACCAGGGATGTGAGGTGAAAGAGGGGCAGGGCCAGGAGGACAAGCTTGTCCCTCTCGGATGGGGCCACACCCCGGGGGCTGCTGAGCTCACTCACCATAATAGAACGGATCCTTTTCTTTCTCCTTCTCAGCTGCTGGGGAAGCAGACAGACATGGTCAAGAGGAAGGCAGCGGTGCTTCCTGTGACATCTTACCTGCCCCACAGCAACCTGTCCCCACTAAAGGACCCCTGTGAAGCAGGATCATGGGGGGACTGTGGAAGATGGGTTTCCTGGGCTTAGGGTCCACACCCAGGGTCTATGGTATATGTGACTCAGCCTCAGTGGGTTCCTGAGGTCACAGCATGCCCTACATTTATTCTAAAAGGCCAGGTCTGTCTATCAACTCGTGACAAATGGGGAAACAGAGAGCAAGGGGTACTCATGACTTGCATCTATGGTCAAGGAGGGTTAATCAGTCTAGGCTGCAGGTCCACCGGAGCTCAAGGTACCTAGAGAGGTTAACAGAAGGCCAGCTGGACCCATGCAGGGAGCAGTAGGAAACACCTCAATTGGGATCTGTTTTTCTCTGCTGACTAATGGTGAGGTCCCTGACCGGATGTGAAGCTGCCTCTCGACCCTAACATTCAAAACAGCCAGAACCTTCAACAGAAAGGGCTATGGCTGCCAGCTTGGCACAGCCAGGCTCTAAAGGATTCTTACCACTAGCCAGGACTGCAGGGGCCAGCAGGCTGCAGAGGATCAGCACCGTCTCCATGGTGTCTGGGATAAAGGAGGAAGACATTACTCTGGGGACAGACCTTCCTCCTTAAGCTATCACCCTAACTGGGGCTCATCCCAGCCACAGCTGTGCTGGCAGCATAAGTGACCTGAGGCTACTTCAGATCCCCAGGACCAAGGTATCTATCGCCTGCCTTATCAGACTCTCGGAGAGCTCTGGTCAATTCTATTATTCCAGATGAGTCAGAACACTTAGCAGGCACTATGATAAGTCTGGAACCGAAAAGTTTGATGATAGTAAATGACCTTCATAGAAGGAATTGTAGGGCTGAGGTCATACAGGGGCTCAGCCACTCATTAAGCATGGGGCTTCTGGGTCAAAGCCTTAACACCCCAAGGACTCGGGAGATGATCATCCCAGTGTCTTTCTTCCAGGCCACCTCTGCCTCATTAAGATGTGGGGCCTCTGGTCCAGCTCCCACAGTCAACAGCCTACCAGGAAGTCTTTAAAAAAAAAAAAAAAGATTTATTTGGTGTGTGTGTGTGCGTGCATGCGTGCGTGTGTCTGTGTGTGTGTGTCTCTCTGTGTGTGTATCTGTGCATGCTTGCTATATGTATGCAGGTGTCCCTGGATGCTAGAAGATCCAGGGCATCATATCCCCTGGAGCTGGAGTTACAGGCAATTGGGAGCTGCTTAATGTGGGTGCTGGTCCTCTGGAAGAGTGGTCAGTGTTCTTACTCACTAAGAAATCTCTTCAGCCTCTAGGAGGTGTTTGTGCCAGCCCTGTAGTCCAGTCAATGGGTGGAGGCCACTCTCTGGTCCCCAAACTCTATGGCAAATCCTGACACTCATATATGACCTCCTTAATTGCCCCTCATACTGTTTCCTCTGTATTCATCAGCTTTCCTTAGAAGACCAGGCCATCATCCTCAAAAGGTGACTTGATTGTATAAAGGGAATGTGGACAAAGTTTTCTGAGCATCAGCCCCCAGTCCCTCCTTCCCTAGAAGACACTGAGTGCTATACCACTTAATCCTGGGTGGGGGTGGGGGAGAACCTGGATGGGACACATGGCAGAGTCAACTCCAGAGACATATGGAGTTACACTCATTACTTTCAGGGTCAGAGAGCAGTAGAGAATGAGAAGGGAGAAGAACTCAAATCAGGAGTGTTCAAAGCTACTCAATCTTTTCCGGATAGGGTAAGCCGGGCTATAGCCTGGCTATCACGGCCCAGCCGGTGCTCATTCTAACAAGCGGCTCTGATGCCATTCACGAGTGAGACACCAGAGGGCAGCATAGCTGTACCCAGAACTATGCCCAACCAAATATAAGCGACAGAGAAAGAATCTCCCGCTGTATGAACATTACACCTTGCTCTTCTTAAAACTATGCTTGACATATATATCCAATCACGATGCTTAGTGTGGTTTTGTGTATATGTAAATGCTAGGTGTCTGAGCAGGGACATGTACATCCATGTGAAGCCAAGAGATCAACATCGGATGTCTTCCTCAACTACAACTGCGTTTTATCTTTTGAGAGAGGGTCTTTCGCTGACCCTGGAGCAAACAGATTTGATTTGGCTAGGCTGACTGGCCAGAGAATCCCAGAAATCCTCCTAATTCCCCACCTTCTCAGTGCTGAGACTGCGGTTGGCTTCTACTCCATCTGGCTTTTTTTTTTTTTTTTTCTTTTTTTTATGCATAAGTTCAAGGGATCAAACTCAGGTCCTCATGCTTGAGAAGCAAATGGCTCAGTGACTGAGCCATCTCCCCAGCCCCTAGTATAGCTTTTTTTAAAAAATAGCTTTATAATTGTAATATTTACAGTCTCCTGAGACTTGCTTTGATCAACATTATTTTGAAGTTTTATTTATACTATTATACAGAATCATAGTTAATTCATGTTTAATGTGATATTTCATTGTGAAGGCAAATTACTGTGTAGTGATCCATTGTCTTGTTGATGGATGTCTGGTGTTGTTAAAAATACATTGCTAACGGTAAATGATATGGTTACAGACACTTACGTGCATGCTGCCTGGGGCACACATACGATCAAGAGGTTTTTAACAGTTTTGAGCACCCACCCTCAAAAGAAACAGGATTTATATTATAGATCTGTGGAAACACACATTGTGGATGATAGAAAACACAGCCACCAAACACTTACTGTGAATGATGCACTCCACTGATTAGTTTCCCTTTGCAAGAAATATGATTAGGCCCCTTGACAAGTCTCATGCTGCAGCCCAGAAATGATGGTCTGGAGTGAGCATAGCTCTGAACTCACAGCTTGGGCTGCAAACTGTCGCCACTATACAGTTTTATTGTCCTCTATGGAGGTCGTTCCTATTTTAACATCCCACCAGCGTGATGTGATTTATCTCTGTTGCTCTCCCATCCTAATTAGTATTTGACATTATCAGATGTCATAATTTTATCAATATAGAGACATAAAATATGGTGTTAATCTGGTCACTTAGCACTGGGTGTTTGTTGTTTCAATTTCTTCATCAGTGATGGGATGTTCCTGTCTTCTTTTCTCCCCATTTTCCCATTTTCAAATAATTTTCTCAGTCTTGACACTAACCTGTTATTGAATATTCCAATATCTCCTCTCAATTCCTGACTTGTCTTTTTACTTAAGAATTTCTTTACATCTATTTATTTTAGTGTGTGTGAGTGTGTGTGTTTGTGCGTGCTTGTGTTTGTAGGTCAGATGACAACTTGCAGGAAGGTAGTTCTCTCCTACCACATAGGTCATGTGATCAAACTCAGGTAGTCAGGTTTGGTGGCAGGCACCTCCATCTCCTGAGCTGTCTCGCTGGCCGTGTTTTTATGAGAGCTGTTGTGGATCTTCCTGGAGGGACTGGGTGGAGATGACATGTTCCTGATTCCAATTGCCTTAAGATTTATAAATCTTTTCATTTTCCAGGACCTTGTCAATATGCTCTAGTGAAATATTATGACACCTTCATATAAGTGTCAAATCCATTCAGGGTATATTATAAATTATATTGTATTTTAAATATTAATGTATTGAGTAGTATGGGGCAAAACAATTGATTTTTTATCTACTGGTGTTAAATACAGTAATCTTAAGCTCTTTTATTTCTAATAATTTACCCAGATACCTTTGCTTTCATTATAGACAGACTTTGTAAATGATAGAGTGGTGTTGCCTCCTTCTAATTAGTATACAAGTTATTTTATTTCTTGTTTTAGTGAACTAAGACTTAAAGTGAAATGCAGTAGAGAAACAATGATCACATATACACATGCACACATGTTTATACACTTGTACACAAATTTGGTCTTGTTAGCTATTACTAATTTTAAATGGAGTTCTAATGTTTTGAAAATTCTCCTCTAACTCTTTTTCCAAGATGTTTGCTTTATATTAATTATGAATAATATATAATAAATATATAATAAGATATATATCTTATTCCCCTTTTAATCTGCCAAACATATAATTTTTTTTCTTGTTGTTGTTGTTTGTTTTTCTGTGTAGCCCTAGCTGTCCTGGAATTGGCTCTGTAGACCAGACTGGCCTCAGACTCAGTGATCTGCCTGCCTCTACCTCCTGAGCACTGTGATTAAAGGCATGTGCCACTACCACCGAAATCAAACAAATAACTTTATATATGAATTACTAATGTCAAATCTTGGATAAAACTGATGTAATATTTAAATACATGGGCAGACTTGGTTTAGAGTCATTCTCCTTATGATTTTTGCACTTACGTGCATGTGTGTGAGATTGGATAGTAATTTTATTTTACTATATTGACCTTGCATGGTTTTGGTAATGTCCTGTGATTTCTAGAAGTTTATGGTTTGAAATTTAATCCTCATTCATGTCAGTGCTATTTGGAAGTTAGGTCTTTGGGAGGAGCTGCAGTTTGAACTAGAAATGCCCAACCCCCATAGGCTCATGTGTTTGAACACCTGCTCTCTAGCCTGTGACATTCTTTTGTAAAGTTGTGGAACTTTGAGGAGGTGGAGTCTCTCTAGAGCAGTGGTTCTCAAGCTTCCTAAAGCTGGGACCCTTTAATACAGTTCCTCATGTTGTGGTGACGCCCAACCATAAAATTATTTCATTGCTACTTCATAACTGTAATTTTGCTACTGTATCAACCATCATGCAGATATCTAACACACAGGATAACTGATCTGTGACCCCAGTGGGTCACGACCCACATGTTGAGAACCAATGCTCTAGAGGAAGTGGATCACTGGAGGCGGGACTTAAGATTTACAGCCCCACCTCACTTCCTGTCTTCCCTCCACTGCCTAAGTTTCAGTGCAATATGGCCAGCCTGGGGCTCCTGCTGCCATCCCCTCCCTGCCATGACTGGTTACCCCATTAAACTGTGAACCAATGTAGCTCTTTCTTCCTTAAACCGCTTCTTGCCAGTTATTAAAAGTTATATTCCATGTGTGCTTAGACTATTGTGAGTTTCTTTGGTGAGACGTTACATATTGCTCAGGAAGTGTAATCATTTACATTTTATGTTAATGAATTAGACAGTTTGACTCACCCAAAAATGGAACTTTGGTGAGACGTTACATATTGCTCAGGAAGTGTAATCATTTACATTTTTATGTTAATGAATTCGACAGTTTGACTCACCCAAAAAATGGAGCCAGAAAACTTAAGATATGCCCTAATCAGGAAGGACTTAAGAAATTTAGCCCTGTGTTTCCACCATAATCTACTAGGAGGTTTTAAAGTGTTCTATCATTCATTAGTGGGTCCTTTGAAGACTATATAATGGTTTTCTTTCTTTCTTTCTTTCTTTCTTTCTTTCTTTCTTTCTTTCTTTCTTTCTTTCTTTCTTTTTTAAGATTTATTTATTATGCATAGTGTTCCTCCTGCAAGTACTCCTGCAGGCCAGAAGAGGACACCAGATCTCATTATAGATAGTTGTGGAGTCAACATGTGGTTGCTGGGAATTGAACTCAAAACCTCTGGAAGAGCAGCCAGTGCTCTTAACCTCTGATTCATCTCACCAGCCCCCATACAGTG